TTTTTGAAAGCTTTATTTATGTATTGTACATGAGCGCTCTATCTGCATGTACATCTGCACGCCAGAAGGGGGCACCAGATCTCATTATAGACGGTTGTGAGCCACCGTGTGGTTGCTGGGAATTGAACTCAGGACCTCTGGAAGAGCAGCCAGTGCCCTTAACCGCTGAGCCATGGCTTCTCCGAGCAGTGGCGGCCCAGGCCCTTGTTCCTCCCGCCCCCTCACTTCTGCTTCCGTGGAAATGGTAGACCCAGGACCGCCCTGGGTGCCAGGAGGCACGGGTGGAAGCTTTGCTTCTTGGATAGTTTCCTCATTTGTGAAGTGGGGATCCCAATTTCTTGCCCTCGCTTCCTTACAGAGTTGGCTGGGCCTCAAACCAGGTAATGCCAGTGGCCATTCTGTGTGAAGTGCAAGGGGGCCTGGGTGGCGGCGGTGTGTGCCGTGACCCCGGACATGCTGAATCGGAAACCTGACCTCGGGGTCGCTGGGCGTCTCGCGGTGCTTTGCAGGGGCTCAAGGCAGCGGCCTCGCTCTGGATTCCCCCTGTCTGCAGCCGCCGGGTCTGGGTCGACTGAGGACTGTGGCGGAGCTGGCAAATCTTTCACCGATGGTTTAAAGGGTCCTGCAGCTATTTTCATCACCTACTCAAGGTAGATTTATTGCTGAAAGAGTCTGGCAAGCCCCGTTTGGAGCCACGCTGTAGCAATACCTCCACTCCCGGCATGCACCTCTGCCTCCACTCCCAGCTTGCAGCTCTGCGGAACGATGTGGGTCTGTCTGTCTTTCAGCCAGGGACTCTGGAAACCTCCAGGTGGCTGTGCAAGAACTGGAGGTCTGGGAGGTCCCACAGCCAGCCTCACCTGCCCTCATCATTCTCATCCTTGCTGTCACTGGCCCTCAAAAGCCTGGGGCTGGGCGCCGCTCTCCCCGCACCCTGGGTTTGCTGACCCAGGGAACCTGATGGATAGCCCAGGGCCATGTTGGCTCGTTCCCAGGAGGACCTTAACTTCATACGGATCTTTGGAGGAATTCTAGAACGCGCTCTTTCGATGCTAAGCCGGATCCATCCTTCCTAGCCAGATTCCTCTGGAGTCGGAAACACGGGCTGGAGGAGGTGAAGCTCCAGCCAGCCGGGTACTCACTCCGCAGCTGTGCGCCTCGGCACGGGAAGGAGGGCAGGGGCGCCGTGGGTAGAGGCTGGGCACAGCCCGTTTCCCTTCGCCCGCAGCGCGGCGAGACTGAATGTGTGGCTCAGTCTATGTGGGAGCAAGGAGTCTCGGTACGCGGCATCGCCTGGCTCATCAGGTTCTGCCTAACAGAACCAGGTGTGCGGGAAAAGCGCTAGACATTTTAACTGTTGAAAGGAGGCCAAAGCGACACCTCTTTATCCATCAGATACGGACTCAGACCGCCCCAGTCATGTGCTTTAGGCTAGCAATTTAGGACTGTCAAGGAGCCTTTCCCCTGCCCTCCTCTATGGTTTTCTTCTCATCCTTTTTTCATTTTGTTGTCCTCTCTGTCTCTGTCTCTCTCTCTCTCTGTTGTCTGGGCACAGAGAGGATACCCAGAGTCTTCTTCTATCCCTCTTTTTATTTATTTATTTTTCCTTTTCTTATCTTCTTTTTGAGACAGTGTCTCTCCTCATAACCCTGACTAGCCTGGAGCTTTCTATGTAGACCAGGCTGGCCTCGAACTCACAAGATTCTCCCTGCACTGGGATTACAGACGTGCGCTCTAACTCCCCACCCACCCTTTATCATCTTAGTTTTTGAGCAGGTTCTGTCCCTGATCCAGAAGCTTACCATCTGGGCTAAGCCAAATGGCCAGCAAGCCTGTGGTATTTACCAACCTCCATCCCTAAACGCTGGAGTCCCAAGTACTCGTGGCCATACTTAGCTTTTAGATGGGTGCTGGGGATTTGAACTCAGGTCCTCTTGCTGTCACAGCAAGTGCTTTTGCTCACGGAGCCATCTCCCTAGCCCTCCTGTGATTTTTCACAAAAGCCCATGGCGGTGGGTGGTGGGGTGGGAGGGACGAAGATACCATTGCTCCCATTTTATAGATACACTGAGGAAGCAGGGAGCAGAGCCTGACCTAACAGCTTATTGGGAATCTGAGTTTTACAACAAGTCCTATTTTTTCTTTTTAAAGACAATCAGGGGGACAGTAGGGGAAATGAAGTTAAAACCAATGAAAACAGTGGGATCCAAGTTTCAGCCTCTGAGCACCATATACTTCCTTAACATTGATTTATTTTTTTTTTGTCCCTGTGATCATAAGCCATTGAGCGTTGCAATTAGTAATTATGCTGGAAAAAAATCTAGGGAGGTCTGTAATTAGCATTTATTGAGCACTTGATCTGTGCCAGAGACTGTACTGTAGCCTTGAACTCCCACATACGCTCCTATGAAATATGAAGTCGCTTAGTTTTATAAATGAGGAAACTGAGGCCCAGAGAGGTCATAGGGCTTTGAACAGCGTGCTATCAGCACACGTTCTAGTCTACAGTCTCTCTGTTTTCTGTGTGATGGTCTCCGTTCCTTGGTAGTCGGTGTCAGCTAAGTCACTGAGTCCATACTTAGGAAGTCTTGATGGCCCTCCGCAGGGATCCGCCTGCCTCTGCCTCCCGAGTGCTGGGGTTAAAGGCGTGTGCCACCACCGCCTGGCTTTTGAAACTTTATTTTAAGCTGTTAAAAATAATCCAAGCGTCTGTGAAGCCAGCCGCTCACGAAATCAACAGGTATGGGCTGGGCAGATGGCTCAGTGGTTAGAGGGGCCAGATGTGTAAGTGTCAGGACCAGAGTTTGAATCCCCAGAACTCACTCACATGCTGTGTGGGAATGGCAGCTCGCTGAGACTCCAGCCTCAGAGGATCCTCAGGGCAAGCTGGTTACCAGGGCTACCATATCAATGAGCTCTGGGTTTGATTGGGAGACCTGCCTCAGAGGATATGGTGGAAGAGTCACAGAGAGTGATTCCCAACATTAGCCTCAGGCCTCAGCACACATGTATGCCCACACTCGTACATGTATGCTCCCACACAATCAACATGCGTTTACACACACATACACACACACACACACACACACACACACACACACACACACAATCAGCAGGTACCTTGTTCATAAGATGGTCTCTGTTGAATCCAAAATGAGGGGACGACAGGCAGGAGATGGTATTTTGGGGGTACACCTGAAAGATCCTGCCGTGGCCTGAGGCTCTTGGGTATCCCAAGCCGACTGTCCCGGAGCAGCAGGGAATCCTTGATGTGTCCTGAGGGGCAGGTCACGGGTTACTCCAGAGTTCTAGAGGCTGCTCAGTTGGCTTGGGAGAGGTCTGATGGTAGTGAGCGCGTCTTGCTTGCTTCTGCCGGCCTCATGCTCAGCCGCCCTCTGAATCTAACCCAGCTGACCCGCAGTATTTATTTCTTGAAGTCCTACTAAAAGCCCACCCTCCGCTAGGCCGCAGGGTGGACGAAGGGGAACTTGACACTGATCCCTCCCATTTGGGGAGATGGATCTCCCTGGGCTTAGCTCTGAGTGTCAGTGTGATGTGGGGTCAGAAGGCCATTTGTGCCCAGAATTGTTAGAAAATCCTTTGTAGAAGATTTAGATGTACATATGTAGTCTAGATTAAAATTTATGTATGTTTGTTTACATATATGTATATCTGTGTGTGTGTGTGCATGCACGAAGGTTGTAAAATTAAAAAGGGCATCATGGGAGGGCAGGAAGATGTCTTGAGGGCGGGGAAGAATTGAGAGGGCAATGGACCGTATAGTAAGGCAGAAGGAGGACTGATAGCTTATCGGCACGAGCGAATGGTGAGACGGAACTGTATTATGTTAAGTGCAGAAGCATGGGAGGGGGGAGGAAGGGAGAGAGAGAGGCACACAGGCAGAGAAAGAAGAGAGAGAGAGGGAGGGAGGGATATAGAAAGAGGCAAGCAGAAGAGGGGATGAGGAAGCAACATGTCTGGGTTCTGTAGTGAAGGGCCTCTGGGAGGAGAAGCTCCGCCCCTAGGCCCAGGGCAGGGTAGGCCAGGCAAGCTCTGCAGCTAGGGACCTAACACTCACTGTGAAGACAGATGGATGAGGAGCAGTTGGGCAGAGGGGGAATGAGGACAGGCTTTCACGTCATGGTTCTCAACCCGTGGGTCTTGACCGGAAGTACTGAGCAATCCTTTCACAGGGGTCGCTTATCGGCCATCCTGCACTTCAGATGTTTACATTATGGTTCATAACAGTAGCAAAGTTACAGTTATGAGGTAGCAAGGAGACAATTTTATGGTTGGGGGTCTGTACAGCATGAGGAAGTGTTTTGAGAGGTCGCAGAGTGAGGACGGTTGACGTAAGTCTGAAGATGCCCCAATGAAACCTGTCCCTTTGCACACTAACATAAACATTAACTTAGAAAACTTTTAGAGCTGGGCATGGTGGCCTCCTGCCTTTAATCCCGGCACTCGGGCTGAAGCAGGAGGGTATCTGTGAGTTGGAGGCCAGCCTGGTCTGTATATTGATTCCCAGGCTAGCCAAGGATAGATGGTAAAACCCTGCATCAAAAAGCAAAACAAACACACAAGCCACTGCTTCCTGGTCAAGGAGCTGTTTTCTCTCCTTTCCCAGGTAAACCCGGCAAAAACACGGCGCAAGCCAGATTTCTCTGGTCCTGGTGGTGCTGAAGGAACCGCAAACAGCAGGGTGAGGGCAGGCCTACTCTCATTCCCAGCGATTCGCCAAGTAAAATATAGAGTGTCCAATCAAGTTTAGGTTTCAGACAAACAAGGGATGCTTTTTAGTAGGAATATGTCGCAAACACCATGAGTTTCACTGTTTGTGTTGGGGTAGTGTGTCGGTGTGGTGACTGGATTCCCAGGTCAGGCTCCCCTGTGTCTGCAGAGGGCATTCGGGGTTTCTGTCGGGCAGAGGGGTGTTCATCTCTTTCCGGAGGAGACGGGTCTGGAGAGCTGCTGTTCTGAAGAGGACCTGAGATGGCCTCAGACGGGGAACTTGGGGATTCTGGGGAGAATGTGGCGCTGTGGATACAGGAACTATCGGCCTTGGGGGTCCCACTCTGCTTCTGGCTGGCTGAGGTTGGACACATAAATACTTTGTGTCTTTCCATCTCCTTTTTGTTTTGTCTTGTGAACAAAAGGCACAAGATGGCTTTAGGACAGGCCATCTCTGAGGCCTCCCTCTGGAGTGGGTTGAGAAGCACGCTCTGGACTGGGGTGGGAATGGTGAGCTCACCCCGCAGGGTGAGCGGGGACAGGTGCCCTTGCTTGTGCAGGTGCCAGGGAGGAGAAAAGCCACTTGCTGGGATGGAGGCCTGGACTTCGCCCTCGTGCAGGACTGGACCTTACATCCTGCCGTTTCTGGCATCAGTGGCAAACACACCTTCCCATCAGACTGGGAAGGTGGGGGACTGGTGTTCGCTCTCTCCCGTTTCCCCACTGACCTGCACGCTGGAGCCTGGCCACAGTGTCGGGGGGCCATGTCCGCAGAAGGCCTCGGAGGTATCTCTTGGCTGAGTACCCAGGCTGCATCTGCCGGTGGATCTGGCTGGCTGGCTTGCTTCGGAAGTACAGGTAGGGTTGCCAGGCTCTGTCCTGCTCCCTCTGTGGGGACACCAATCAGGAGACAGCACGGTGGCTGAGCCCTGAGACGATGCTCGACAGGCTGGCCCAGGACTCACCAGCAAGCCAGAGACCCCCGAAGGGGCCAGAAGGCACCAGGAGCGTATGCCTTCCAAAAGCCCAGGGCGTGAGCCCTGAGAGGCCCCCGAAGACACACAGTCAGGGAGAGGACAGTGACAAACGCCAGACCCCATCTTCAGCTAGGGCGTTGGGAAAGAATAAGGCCTCAGGAGAATTGCTTCAGCTGAGGAAATCAAGCTAGGCCCCTCAAAGCGGCCAAGACTCAGTGGGAAGCATGCATGCCACAGCCCCAGAACGCTATGTTTTTCATATGAAAACCGAGACAGACAGAGCTCGTCTATGTTCACAGGCAACCCGGCAATTTGAAAAGGTTTGACGGGTTTGCGTTTCGATTCAGCCAGATGATGGTTCTTCTGGGACTCTTCCTTCCACAGTCAGTCCCTTAGTGCAAGACACATGGGGGATGAACAGGCAACACTTAATGCTTGGCCTGGGATTCATATTGCATGGAGAGCTTTCGCCTCGTCCTGTAAGGTGGACAGAGCCTGGGCAAGGCAGGGACTCTCAGAGCTGGTGGATTAAGCCCATGCTGAGCCAAGTGGCCGCGGCACAAGCTTTAATCCCAGCACTGGGAGGCAGAGGCAGGCTGGCCTCTGAGTTCAAGGTCAGCCTGGTCTACAGAGCAAGGTCCAAGACAGGCGAGGCTACACAGAGAAACCTGGTCTTGAGAAACCAGGAGTAAAACGACAACAAAACACGAATAACAAAAAGGGTGGCAGGCTTTACTAACTGTTCGTGGCATCCATGATTGCTGGCTGAACATGACCTTAGAATCCAGGCTCCTAAAATGAATATTTTAAATTTCTTTGTCTTATTTTGTACGTGAGTGTTTTCCCCGAGTGTATGTAGGAGCACCCTACGAGTGCCTGACGCCTGCAGAGGCCGGAAAGGGGCCCGGATACCCTGGAATTGCAGTTTTCCGCACGTGAGTCACCACGTGGGTGCCAGGAATTAACCCCTACAAGAGCAGTAAGCTCCCTGAAGTGCGGAGCCACCTCTCCACCCTCCTGAATTTTCTTCCTTAGTGAAGGCATGCTTTATATGTGCCATGTGAAGAGCTTAGAGTTTCAGTTCAATAAAAGCTGTATACGCCTTCGTAACCACCATAGACAGCAAGATGCAGACTATCCGCAGCTGCTCAGGACTTTCCCAAGCCACTTCCGCAGCAGCTTCCCTCTGCCCACCAGACGGTCGGCATTGGCTTCTAAGCCGGTTTATAGAGATGGACACACACACACACACACACACACACACACACACACACACTCAGACATCAGATACTCATTGGTGCTCCATGAAAGTGGTTCACAGTGTTCCAGTGAGAGCTGGTGTGAGGATGGGAGGTGCCGTGTTTACCCACTACTCCTTAGGGAAGCAGTTCCCACAAGACCAGAAAGCAGCCTGGCAAGACAGGGTGTCTCAGCCCATTCACTGCTGCTGTAACGGTCTCTGAGCGTGGGTCATTTGTAAAGAACAGAGGTTTGGCCAGGTGACGGTGGTGGTGATGGTGGTGGTGGTGGTGGTGATGGTGATGGTGGTGGTGGTGGTGGTGGTGGTGGTGGTGGTGGTGGTGATGGTGATGGTGGTGGTGGTGGTGGTGGTGGTGGTGGTGGTGATGGTGGTGGTGGTGGTGGTGGTGATGGTGGTGATGGTGGTGGTGGTGGTGGTGATGGTGGCATACACCTTTAAATCCCCACACTCCAGAGGCAGAGTCAGGTGGATCTCTGAGTTTGAGGCCACCCTGGTCTACAGAGAGAGAGAGTGCCAGGACAGCCAGGGCTACACAGAGAAACCCTGTCTGGAAAACTTGACAAACAAAACAACACATAAACGATAGCTGTTTCCTGCAGGTGTGGGTGGCCCAGGGTGGAGCGGCTTTCATCTTGTGAGGGCCTCCTTGCTCTCTCATCCTCGGCAGAAGGCATTATGTGCACCGGTCACAAATGACAGCTGGGCATGGGGCTGGGCTAGGCGTTGAACTCACCCCTGGCAATTAATCCGGTCTCATGGTTAACTACATCAATCCACTCATGAGGGCTGAACCCCTGGTGTTCAGATCACCACCTAAAGGACCCCTTGTCTCAGCTGACTGTCTCCGAGTGCCCTGTCTCAGCCCTGCTCACCCTGCGATGGCTGTGAGTCTGGGCGAGACCCTCCCCACCCCCAGGGTTAGCCAGTGTTTCTACCGGTCAGCAGCACCTTTGCTGCAGTGCCTGCTTAAGCTGCAAGCAGTCGCGGAAGGCCTTGTCCCAGGCCGGGCCCACTTCCATGTCGTTCAGCTGAGCCTCTGAAAGCTGCTCTCGGCCACTGTGTTAGTTCCCCGAGGCTGCTATAACAACTCACACAATAGTGACTCAGCCAGTTCTCAGGGAACAGCGTATCGTCTTAGAGTTAGGGCAGGTTAGACGCTTGAGGTGGGTCCCTGTGAACTAACACCCAGGCGTGGCCCGGCCTGTGCTGCTGCTGGGACTCCTGGGACAGAAAGGTCCCCTGAGGCCTCCAGCTTCCCAGGAGCCCCGTGTTCTGGGCTCACGCCCCCTCCAGGCCAGTGACTGCACAGGAGTCTTCTGCTGTGTCCCTCCTCAGCTCCCTTCTGAGTCTTTACGTTTAAAACAAAATACACACAGACACAGACACAGACACACACACACACACACACACACACACACACACACACACACGCTCCTGTGATTTTTTTCCAATCCCAGTTTCTTTAGGCTCTGTTTTAGTTTCTCTCAGTCACTTCTTGAGGGACGACTGTGAAGTTATTTAACAGAGCCTCCTCGGTGGGTGAGGGGGCACAGGGAAGACAGGACCACCGAGGGGGCCTCTTAGCGTGAGAGCGGTTTCCATGTTTCCAGTGTGCACAAGTTAGTGGAAACAAGACAGCGCAGAGGAGTGGTCTGAGTAATTACAGCCTCCTGAAGGTGTGTCTTACGTACGCATCGTGACGGCAGAAAGAATGAAAGAAAAATACCGAAATTTGAGAAAGAGCAAGGTTACACTGCTGGGCACAAGGGTACTCGTCCTTCTCTTCTAATATAAAGTCCAAATTCTAGTGATGTGGTTAGATTACATTTACAAAAGGGGGAGCAAAAAGTTAACTAACTTTACTGCATCCACCCTCCTCTTGGCTGGCGTATTTTCCTAGTCCTCTCTCCCCAGTAGCGTCCTACACCTCACACCCACTCAGAGAGAGACAGAAGGGAGCCGGGGAGGGAGTTTCTGGAAGAGAGAAATAAACACGGCAGCAGGAGGCTGGCTGCGGTGGGCTCAGGCTGCCCGGCCTGCCTCAGCTTTGCCACTCAACCCTCTCCAGGCTCCTTCTGAGACAATTAGTGTGTGCAGCGCGGCCTGAGCCGCCTTTAATGAGAGGCTTGCTCGGACAGGCTGCCTTTCCACGTCTACCAGGCCTGTGGAGGCAGAGGGGCGGAGGGGGCTCCCAGGCCCCGTGCTGCCTTGCCTCGGCACTGCTGACCACCCATCCCAGGGCAGGGGGAGGCTGTGGTTAGGGCTCAGCATGGCAGGGCTCAGGAAGCTCAAAATGGCCTGGGCCAGCCAGGGGTGCCCATACTGCAGAGAGTGGCTCAGCCTCTGGGTGCAGAGAGAGATGCCCAGGAAGGACAGGGCTGGTAGGCCAAGCCCTTCCCAACTCAGCCCTCAGCAGATTCTCCAGAAATACTTGGCAGCCAAGAAGAGTCCATGCCTGGCGGATTCCCCTGGGTTTCCCTCTGCTCGCCCTGGGATCCTGCCCACCTAGGCCTGGGTCTCTACTTATTATCCCCCACGAGATTTCATTTAAATTCTTCCTCCTCCAAGAAGCTGCTCTAGACTTTCCCAGTCAGAGGTAGTCGCGGTGGGAGGGCGCCCAAAGCGCAGACAGCAAAGGCCCAATTAGACAAATGAGATTCCTCCAGACTCAGAAGCTCCGGCACAGAGAATCAACAGACTGAGGGAGCCCGCAAAACGGACTGTTTCTAATAAAGCATTTCTTCTGACAAAGGACTGCTATTCAGAATACAGAAGGAGCCCAGCAAAGTCAACAAAAATCCAGTTTCAAAATGGGCAATTTATGCAGACCCCTCTCAGAAGAGATCCAAATGGTCCAGAGACTTGTAAGAAAAGTGCTTAATGCCACCAGCAGCAGAACGTCAGCGAGAGATCGCCTCGTCCCAATTAGAAAGGCTATATTATTGCAAAGAATGAAAGGGCCAGGAGATAGTTCAGGGGGTAAAAGTGTTTGATGCTGGATGGGCTGAGTTCAATCCTTGGGACCTACATAGGAGGAGGAGGGAACCCCTTCCCCCGAGTATGCATACACACACACACACACACACACACACACACACACACACACACACACA